ATGCTATGTTTGTAGTTCTGCCTTCCTAACACTAAATGTAGTTACTGGGCAGCAGAATCTGCTTTAGCAGGTGATACCAGAAATCAGCAAATGCTAAGTTTCACTAGCATGCTCTATCTAAATCAAAAACAAGAAAAAGATTAGTCACATCAAATCCTGTAAAAATAAAAGCCTATGTTCCAGCTTTCCATATAATATAAATTAGCATTAAAAACACATTACAAACAACCTGGAAACATTCATAAATCAGCAAACATTAACAAACTGGCCCACATTTTCCCCATTCTATGTTCCAAACCCATTAATGCTAGCAGTGTTAGCTTGTGGCCCTAATCTAGCTAGTACCTTATCCCACATCAGGCCCAGGAGGAGAAGAGGGTAAGGAAGGAAAAACAGAGAGAGCACCCCAGCACCTCCCCTAGTCATGGTTCTCCAGCAGATGGGAGAGATAACAACACCTCCCAGAACCTCCTTTTAAGAAATAGAGAAGTCATCTGTGAGTTTTATGGTATCTCCATAAAGTTCCATATGGAGTCTACTCAACATATTTACATGGTGAATTCCGCCTTCAGGTCCCAAATGAACCCCTGCAACTATGAAAATTAGAAACAATAAAGACAACATTTGCATTTTAGTTGACCTTCTTGAGCTTTGAACATTGAAAGAAGAGAGACTGGTAACAGAAATTTTCAGGATTTAGAAACCATGTATTGCTGAGTCAGAAACCAGTTGAATTCCACTTACCACACTGCCATTTCTGGAGTGAATTTCTACTGGCTGGCTCACCAATTTATTATGGGCTAGGTAGGGTTGAATGTCTCTATTCCAGGCCATTGCCTTTTACCTAGAGAGGTATTCTAAGTACAGGCACAAATATGACATACAGGGTGATAAAAGTTTATTTAAAAGGTGTGGGTGTAGAAAACACACACAGGTGGTCATTGTTCAGGTATGGAGTGGACTGGGAGGGGAAAGATATGTGAGATAGAGAGAGAGAGAGAGAGGTGTATTTCAGTACCCTACCATGTCCAAGTCCATGGGAAGAGCAAACTCCTTCCCATTACCAGCCTCGTATGTGGTTGGAAAGGGGAATGATTCAGCTCCCGACCCTAATCTGGCTACCTGCCTTATCCCATACCAGGCCCAGAAGCAGAAGAGGGTAAGGAAAGAAAAACAGAGAGAACACCCCAGCACCAGCACCAGTCACGGTTCTCCAGCTGAAGAGAGAGAGAGAACATTTGCTAGCACTTCCTTTTATTTTTTATTTATTTATTTTATTTTTTTTTTTATTTTTGACAGGCAGAGTGGACAGTGAGAGAGAGAGAGAGACAGAGAGAAAGGTCTTCCTTTTGCCGTTGGTTCACCCTCCAATAGCCGCCACGGCCGGCGCACTGCGGCCGGCGCATCACGCAGATCCGAAGCCAGAAGCCAGGTGCTTTTCCTGGTCTCCCATGCGGGCCTAGCACTTCCTTTTAAAAGATAGTGAAGTTATCTGGGAGTTTTATAGTATTTCTCTATAATTCCATGTGGAGCCTACTAAACTATTTACATGGTGAATTCCCCTTCATGTCCCAGATGAAACAGGGACATCCTGGGAAAGGGAGCATTTTGATTGATAAGAAGGAGAATTGAATTACACATGGGTGGAGCTTGCAGATACCTCCACTTCACTGATCCTACCAAACTGCCTGCCTAGCATATATCAATGACACATCCTTTAGGCATAGAATAGACGTAGAAATTTTTTTTGACAGGCAGAGTGGACGGTGAGAGAGAGACAGAGAGAAAGGTCTTCCTTTGCCATTGGTTCACCCTCCAATGGCCGCTGTGGCCGGTGCACTGCGCTGATCTGAAGCCAGGAGCCAGGTGCTTCTCCTGGTCTCTCATGCAGGTGCAGGGCCCAAGGACTTGGGCCATCTTCCACTGCACTCCCGGGCCACAGCAGAGAGCTGGACTGGAAGAGGAGCAACTGGGATGGAATCCGGCACCCTGACTGGGACTAGAAGCCGGTGTGCCGGTGCCACAGGAGGAAAATTAGCCTATTGAGCCGCAGTGCTGGCTGACTTAGAAAATTTTCTAAGTCAGATGACAACCAGGGACCATGGACCCAAATGCCATGCATGTTTTTAAATCACACGTAAGCCAATCATAGGCAAAATATTACTTTCCTATGTGCCCGAGAAGAATCCTTTTCTAACTTTCTTTTTTGTGTATATTATTCCTCTCTTAATGCTTCCAGTTAAACTTAACCCCCAAATCATTCATTGTAGGAAATGTTCTATGTGTGGTATGGGCTTGCGGTGGACAAAGAGAAGAAAATATTTAATTAGGAGTTGAGGAATGGTCAAGAGCTCCATGTGTAATCTAAAATTAGATTGAGTCAATAATATGTAGGTAAAATGAAGAAAATAGGAGTTTTTGGGACAGTGGACATTGTGAGAAAGGCCATAGGTAAGAGAAAATATAAATTAAAGCTAATAATATTTGGCCTAAAGATTATATATCGTGAAGATGATGTGGAAGGCTGTAAAAGTTTGAAAATAAAAACCATATAAATGGGCCGGTGCTGCGGCTCACTGTGGCTCCCCCATTTGCGGAGGAACGACACCGGACCCTGCGCTGTTCTTTTTGCCCATCCCTTCCCGGGATAGCTGCCGTTCCCTCACTCACGGAGGAACGATGCCATCCCGGGTTAGCTGTTGGCCCCCCTGCCTCCGCGGAGGAGCAGCACACTGCCGGCCGGCTCTCTCAGGGGTTGCTCAGATGTTCCTGGTGCATGTTGTCTCTCTCCTCCTTTATAGTCCTCTTCCACCAATCCATGCTCTGCTGCCCACATGCCGAGCACGCTGCTCTCCTCCAATCAGGAGCAGGATCAGCTCCTGCAGTTTATTAGTTGAACTGGTGAGGCAGCAGTGTAGAAGTTGTTTACTGTCTCTCAGCGCCATATTGTGGGAGATCAGATGCATAGAATTAGTCTTAGTTCCAGTAATTTAGTCTAGTCTCAGTTGCTCCCCACAGCTCACTAGGCTAATCCTCCGCCTTGCAGCGCCGGCACTCTGGGTTCTAGTCCCTGTCGGGGCGCCAGATTCTGTCCCGGTTGCCCCTCTTCCAGGCCAGCTCTCTGCTGTGGCCCGGGAGTACAGTGGAGGATGGCCCAAGTGCTTGGGCCCTGCACCCACATGGGAGACCAGGAGAAGCGCCTGGCTCCTGCCTTCGGATCAGCTCGGTGTGCCGGCCTCAGCGCTCAGGCCACGGCCGTCATTGGAGGGTGAACCAACGGCAAAGGAAGACCTTTCTCTCTGTCTCTCTCTCTCACTGTCCACTCTGCCTGTCAAAAAACAAAACAAAACAAAACATATAAATGGGCAAAAATAAGTTCTCCCTATCAGTACTTTGATATGTTATGAGAGTGTAATTTTTTTTGGCAGGCGAAGTTAGACAGAGAGAGAGAGAGAGAGAGAGAAAGGTCTTCCTTCTGTTGGTTAACTCCCCAAATGGTTGCACAGCTGTGCCAATCCGAAGCCAGGAGCCAGGTCCTTCCTTTTGGTCTCCCATGTGGGTGCAGGACCCAAGTATTTGGGCCATCCTCCACTGCACTCCCTGGCCATGGCAGAGAGCTGGCCTGGAAGAGGGACATCTGGGACAGAATCTGGTGCCCCAACCGGGACTAGAACCCGGTGTGCCAGCACCGCAAGGCGGAGGATTAGCCTATTGAGCTGCGGCGCTGGCCAAGTTCAATATAATTTCTACACTTAAAATAGATCATTTTTATGATTTTTAAAAATCATTTAAAAGTATAAAGTTCAGTTTTAAGTCCTGGGCTGTACAAAAACAGGCAGAGGGACAAATTTTCCCTGTAGGACATAGTTAGCCAAATTTTGGCCTCAATATTTTAGTTGTTGTCTTTTTTTTTTTTTTTTTTTTTTTTTTTTTTTTTTGTAGAGTTAGACAATGAGAGAGAGAGACAGAGAGAAAGGTCTTCCTTCCCTTGGTTCACCCCCCAAATGGCCACCACAGCCAGAGCTACACTGATTCGAAGCCAGAAGCCAGCTGCTTCTTCCCAGTCTCCCATGCGGGTGCAGGGTCCCAAGCACTTGGGACATCCTCTGCTGCCTTCCCAGGCCACAGCAGAGAGCTGGACTGGAAGAGGAGCAATTGGGACTAGAACCTGGCACCCATATGGGATGCCGACGCCACAGGTGGAGGATTAACCAAGTGAGCCACTGTGCTGGCCCGTCTTTTTTTTTTTTTTTTTTTTTAAATACTTTTATTTATTTACCTGAGAGGCATAGTTATTGACACAGAGAGGGTCTTCCATTTGTTGATTCACTCCCCAAATGACTGCAAAGGCCAGAGCTGAGAAGATGTGAAGCAGGGAGCCAGGAGCCTCTTCTGGGTCTCACACATGGGTGCAGAGGCCCAAGCATTTGGGCCATCTTCCACTAGTTTCCCAGGCCATCAGCAGGGAGCTGGAATACAAGTGGAGCAATTGGAGCTCGAACCAACACCCATATGGGATGCTGGCACCTCAAGCAGATGGTTAACCCACTGGACCACAGTGTCAGCCCCTAAGTTGTTTTCTTAGTTGACTCCTTTTCTGAAATTACATTTACTTTTATGAGACTGACAGGCTGCCTACTGCACTAAGGAGGCAGGTAGCACTTACTTTTAAAGTGGCCTCTACATTATTCCAAAAATATATTTTTACAGCACAGATGTGATCATATAATTACCCTGTGTGCCAAGCTGGAGGTGAATAGTAACTGTTCAGGAACAGGCTGGGTGAGAGTATAGACCTAAGTACCTCTGCAAAGAGAAGGCAAGGAAAGCGATAGAGATGTAAGATAGTGTGAAGGTTGTAGAGATAGTCAGCCACTGGAAATGAAGTCCATGAATGTCCCTAAGTGAAAGATTTATTTACTATTGTAAATTATCTAAAGAAGTGCAGCCTATTAATATATATTGCTAACAGTATGTTTTATTCCTTTGTTCAACTTTAGCCTTGGATCAACTGTGCAGTTCTCTTGTGATGAAGATTATGTTCTACAGGGTGCAAAGAGCATCACCTGCCAACGGATAGCTGAAGTTTTTGCTGCTTGGAGTGACCACAGACCTGTATGTAAAGGTAAAGAAAAGTTTCAAAATAAGAATATTTTGTAATAAGTACAATTTAATACTTTAACTTTTGTTTTATTGAATATATATTGCAATCTCAGAGTCTTTATTTTAAGGAAACATTTAGCTCAAGTTTTAATGATATTTATTAATGATCTGTAATCTGTTATGTCGTGTGTTGTATTTCTAATGAATTTCCAGTTCAGTGATCCTGTAATAGACTGAAGCATAAAGAATATAATTTAGGCTACTGGACACTTTGCTGACATTTTTTAAGATCACAATTGCCCTCTCCATATAAGCATTGATATGAATATTTTAACCGTAATTGTACCTCCGCTTATAGGTCTGACTTTTTAATTGCTTTTTTTCCAGTTATAGTAAAGTGGTAATAATGGAGATAGAGCCTGGGTTTTTTGGTTAGTTTACTTAACTGGAGACAAAACAAGGAGTTTTCTGGCTTACCTTTTACCAGTAATTGCAGATAATATAGGAGCCTACATCAAAAGCTAATGGAAATGAAATTAAGAGATAAATTTATTTTGGTACAAAAATTTTTGAAATCCATCAAGTAAAAAAGTTTATGGAAAATGTTTATTATGAAAACACTGTGCATAGATTTCAAATATTTTTACACCAAAATAAACATATTTTAATTCCATTTCCACTAACTTTTTTTTGGAAGCAGTTTTTTTAGGGGGATCATTTTTAATAATATGACCAGAAACATTGCACGAAGAAGGTGCACGTACACTTCATTGGTTAACTGGGAAGAGTCTGTAAGGTGGACAAAAGCAGTAAAGAAAAGGGAATTCCAGGAAGAAGTAACAGTATTGCCAAGGTAGAGATATACAGCTGCATAGTATGAGCAAGAAACCAAGCAAAAGGACCCATGGAAACATTTATTTTGATATTACAGGTCCATTTATCTGCTAGGACTAAGTATAATGTGTTTCCAATTCCTGCCATACCACTTGACTTACTACTTACCGTCTGTTCCTCAGCTCTCTTGTTTTTCCCCAGAAACCCTTTATTTATAGTATACAAACTTGATATAGTTCATAAATAGAATTTAAGGAACATAGTGATTCGTTACACTCTATCCACCCTCCTACCCTTCTTCTTCCTTCCTCTCCTATTTGCATTTTTATTTTTTACTAAGTATCATTGCATATAGGTGTGTATGCAGTGTTTATAGACTTGCCATAAGTGGAATCCAATTATTATGTTTCTAATCATAATTTAAAATTGTCCAATTTTAGTCTTGTAGGAACTGGTAAAATTATCTGTTTACCTATCATCTATTTTTTGTATTATCTGTTTTACTGATTATATACATATTAATTTGTGTATAATGCAAAAATGACAGAAGACAAAACTGACTTGACTCAGGATAATTTTAAATGTTATGAAGGGGAAGTGAAATTTTGTATAACTACTTGGGAGAGAAAAGAAAGGGTGAGACAGAACCAATTTTGGGTAACTTTCGATGATTTAAATAGTTTAAATTCATTAAAAATATTTATTCCATCTGATTTGTTAGTTAAATTTCAAGAAACAGTTCACAATGCAAAACAACATGCAGTTATATGGTACAATGACTACACACAGTATCAATATCATCATATTCAGGTATTAAAAAATTTTAAGTCAATATGATTAGACACAAAAACAAAGATTTTCAAGAACCCTTTGACGGAGGTCAGACTAGTTCTCAACAGCAAGAACTTAGTAATGCTGCCAGTAGAAGTAAAAGCTACTTTTCAAATTTAAATGCCTGTCACTGACTTGTGACAAATTATACAAATAACTATGGGCCCCCTGTGACAAGGTATGAATAACTATAATTCAGTGGTATTATACTTTTCCTTGGCTTCTATATTATTATACTCTTTTTCTGCCTTCTGCCTCTTTGCCATCTGATCCAATTGTTCATTTACCTCTCCTCTTTAGGTTTGACTACTAACCGTGAAAACTGATCTTCCTGCCCCTTCAATTGTCCTATCTCCTAGTCCCACCACCTTTCTTCCAGTGAAATATTTACATATAAATTAAACAACATTTTTTCTCTGAATTTGATAAAATTGAATTGGAAAATGAACATTTTATCCTAATCTACTGTTATGCCTGATTGTTTGTTGTGATAGTAGTCTCTCCTTTCCTTTCCCTTCGCTTCTTTCCCTCCTTCACTCCTTCCTTCCCTCCTTTCCTCCCTCCTTTCCCTCCTTTCCTCCCTCCCTCCTGTCCCTCTATCTTTTCTTCTGAGCCTTCCTTCACTCCCTCCCTCCCTCCCTCCCTTCCTTGCTTTCTTCCTTCCTTCTTTCCTTCCTTCCTTCCAACAATAGCATTTCTGTGTTTTTCACTGTTTCAGTATTTAAGATTCCTCTATCATTTCTCTCTCAGGGAACATTTTCACTGACACCATAACCTGAAGTTTTTCTCACAGAAAGTGTGAAGTCAGGGGAATAGATAAAGGGTAGATCTGAGAGTTCCTGTAAAGGGAAGAATAAATATTATTTCACAACCTGCTAGATATAGAAGGAGAAAGTTACAAGAAGTCAAAATCTGCTAAGTATATCAGACTAAATCTTATTTTGTTGTTGTTAATAAGTATGAATAAGCCGGCGCCTCGGCTCACTAGGCTAATCCTCTGCTGTGCAGTGCCTGCACACCGGGTTCTAGTCCAGATTCTGTCCAGGTTGCCCCTCTTCCAGGCCAGCCTTCTGCTGTGGCCAGGGAGTGCAGTGGAAGATGGCCCAAGTAGTTGGGCCCTGCACCCCATGGGGGACCAGGAGAAGCTGGCCACGGCAGCCATTGGAGAGTGAACCAATGGCAAAGGAAGACCTTTCTCTCTGTCTCTCTCTCTCACTGTCCACTCTGCCTGTCCAAAAAAAAAAAAAAAAATGAATAAACTGAAAAATAGAATTAAATGAGACGACATTCACATTTATGATATTGTCATCATTGGTGCCATTTTTAAGTTCTTACTGTGAGCCAGGTGCTATGCTAACTGTTGCATACACTTTGCCCCATTAAATCCTCAAAACAAACTAATAGAGGCACTATTATCTGCATTTTATGAATTAAATGCATAAGGCATAAAACTCAAATGGGTGAAAAATTTCAAAGCCCTTAAAAGAATTAGAGGACAGAAGCCAGATTTCAGAGTATTAAACAAGGAATAGAAAATGAAAACAAATGCAAGGAACAGATCTTTTCCACTCAGTTGGCAGTGGCAACTCAAAGTAAGAAGAGAAAATTCCCAAGTTCAAGTAATCTTTCCTGTCACGTGTAGATGTTCGTTCATTACTGTCCTCATTCATAAGACTAACAAAATGACATGTAATGCAATAATGGTAAAGATAAATAGTGAAATATGGATGATAAGAAAATAAGGTAAAATAGTTACATGATCTCAGATTTAAAATGATATACAAATGTGTAAATGATTTTTAAAATGGTTTGTCTATTAAATATTGTGAGATAGTTTAAACAAAAGAATAGAAAATAAAGGTACTAAAGAAACAAGTAAAATTTTTCATATTTTTGAGGCATTTCCTTTATAAAGTGGATGTTTTATCTTTTATAAGGATTGCTTTCTTTTTTTCTTTCTTTTTAGGAATTATTTATTTGAAAGAGTTACATAGGGAGAGGGGTAGGGGGAGGGGGAGGGAGAGGGAGAGGGAGGTAACGAGTGCTTTTCCATCTGCTGGTTCAGTGCCCAGGTGGTCCTAATAGCCAAGGCTGAGCCAGGCTGAAGCCAGGAACCAAGAGATTCATCTGGATCTCCCAAATGGGTGGCTGAAGCCAGGAACCAAGAGATTCATCTGGATCTCCCAAATGGGTGGCAGGGGCCTAAATACTTGGGTAATCATCTGCAGCTCTTCCTAGGCCATGAGCACGGAGCTGCATTGGAAATGCAGCAGCTGGGTCATGGACCAGAGGCCATATTGGATGCTCTCATCTCAGGCGTGACTTTACCTGCTATATCACAATGTGCCCCAAGGGGTTACTTCCCTCAATGACCTGTCAATGAATAGAACAATAATCTGTATGAGACTGATTTCACATAATATACTCCATTTAAGTTGAAATTATGGCTGTAAAGGGCAATACAGTGATCATAATACCTTCAAAATGGTACGTACGTCCCATGTATCCCAAGTGTCCTACCTCAGTGTTACATAAATTAGAAGTGTGCATTTTGTGGTAACAAAGAATTCAAAAAAATGATAATGGTTCAAGAGATTAATACTAATATGGAAACCAAATCTCAAAAAAGGAGTTACAGGCAGACAGTGGAATATATGGTCTATATAAAGTAAGACTGAGACTAAAAACCATGTTTTTTTTTAACTCAAGACTCTCATTTTGATAGAAAGGATGAATCATATTTATGATTATAAATTGCAGAAATAATGTTTCATTATTTTGTTACTTTTGATAAATCTTGTGGGACAGGAGCAGCTCTGTAACTGACTTAAATCTCAGGAAATATTTCTTCAGTACTAATGCATGATTGTTTTTTATAGATATGATGAAGGATACTGGTGTCATATGTATGTATATATAATTTACATATATGTAAATAAATTCAGCAGTCATTATCTGGGTGGTATAAAAAGTGCTTGTTCAAGATATTATTTCATCTAAATTCATATCTTTTTACAGTAACTATTCAGGAATATATAGCTTTATTTTCTCATTGTATTCAAGGCACATATGTGTATGGTTTAGAAAGTACATTTTGCTGCTAGACATTTCTGGTTATGGTGCTGAAAACAGTAATGGAAGAAGTATGGTGAAATAGTAATTGAAGTTTGAAATGAGTATCCACTGTGAGTCTGAACAAAAAACAGTTCCCATGTCTCATGGGTGCTTGGACAGAATAATTATGCTTTTTTTGACAGAGCAGAATAAATAGCAGTATCAGTGCACTGCACCTTTGAGAGATTATTAAAATAGCTGCTGTCTATGTATTACGTGTTTGAGCAATCAAGAAGTAGTGAT